TGCTGCTCATGTCTGGGTCTGCTGCTCATGTCTGAATTTGCTGCTCATGTCTGGATCTGATGCTCATGTCTGGATCTGCTGCTCATTTCTGAATCTGTTGCTCATGTCTGGATCTGATGCTCATGTCTGGGTCTGCTGCTCATGTCTGGGTCTGCTGCTCATGTCTGAATTTGCTGCTCATGTCTGGATCTGCTGCTCATGTCTGAATTTGCTGCTCATGTCTGGGTCTGCTGCTCATGTCTGAATTTGCTGCTCATGTCTGGATCTGCTGCTCATGTCTGGATCTGCTGCTCATGTCTGAATCTGCTGCTCATGTCTGGATCTGCTGCTCATTTCTGGGTCTGCTGATACCACCATTTTAGTGCTGAATCGGGCTATGCCTGATACTGGTATTGGTACTAGTCTGCTGCTCATGATTTCAGTCCCAGACAGCTCCTTATTTTTCAGAATCCAGCCTGGATAGCCTGGTTTGGTTTGAATCCATCCTTTTTGTCTCCTCCAGGAGTTATCTGGACATGGTGAAGGTCCTGGTGTTCCGGTACTTCTTCTGGTTCGTGCTGTCGGTGGTCTTCATCACAGGGGCCACCAGGATATCCGTGTTTGGATTGGGATATCTGATCGCCTCCTTCTTTTTCCTGCTGTTTGGAACCAAGCTGCTGGTGCGGCCATCCAGAGTCCGCCTAATGCTGTGGGACTGTCTCATCATCTACAACGTGGCCGTCATCATATCCAAGAACGCCTTATCTGTAAGTAGAAGACATGGTTGCTTCATGGTCTACAGCATCCTGCAGCTTGTTTCAAAGACTGCAGATTGTTTCTGACATTTGATGAAAAATCGGTCAGAACATCAGAGCTTATTTGGAACAATTTGACATCAAGCCAGAACCAAGTTGTGGTTCTGGAGGACATCCATGAATCAGTTTGGCTCCAGACCAGCTCTAGCCAACGATCAGCGATGGCCCATCTTTGGTTTCCATGGTAACACAGTAGCACCGGTTCCAGAGGATTGGATGAGCGTCTGGGGTCAAACTGTGACAGTGCAGCATAGAGGTTGTGAATGAGAGGCGTGCTTTGGAGACCTCTGAGATTCTGGGTTTTGTTTCTTTTTTCAGATCCTGGCCTGTGTGTTTGTGACGGAGATGCAGGCCCGGTTCTGTTGGGTCATTCAGCTCTTCAGCCTGGTTTGCACTGTTAAAGGATATTATGATGGTACGTATCAAACATTGTTATTCAGTAGACACTGCAGCTGTCCATGACATGATGCTGAGCTTGATTGATTAAGCGCTAAATGATTGAAAACTTCAGTTCATGTCTGTTTTTTTATCCCTGTTCTTTGTCAGAAGCCAAACATGATGTTTAGTATCTTCTTTTCTCCGACAGCTGAAGCGGTGAGCAGTGAGACGTGTAGCCTCCCGGTGGAGGAAGCAGGCATCCTGTGGGACAGTCTCTGTCTTCTCTGCCTCTTGCTGCAGAGGAGAGTCTTCCTTAGTTTCTACTTCCTGCACGTGACGACAGAGCTACAGGCATTTGCCAAACAGGCATCAAGGTGAAGTACGACGTTACCCAGCAGCTTGTTTATTGATAAGGCTCACAGGGATATTGGGATATTACCAGTGTCTATACATCAACACCCAAACCAGGTCTAAAACACAATTTAAACACTTCAAAGTCTTAGGGAATCATATTTAAATGTCAAATCCTTCTGGCTTAAGAAATGTATATAAATGTTCTCTTTATCAGACAATATTGTCCCAAAATTTATAAAAAAATTTAAAAAAATCTTTAAGCCTTCTACACCAAACCAAGCTTCTGGCGTCTTCTTTCACAACATCTTCGTCCCCGCTTTCCTCCTCTAAATAAAAAATGTATGAGACAGAGGAGCATTTGACAGTTTTCTGGCTGTGGGAAATCACAGGTAATTTCACAGTCAGTGGATGTACTAAACAATAAATCCACATATACGCTGATGGATCCTTTAGTATAGTATGGAGCATAACATTAGTCTGGCTATCTCTGACCGACTCAAAGTCTGAGTTAGCCATTGACATTGTGTCTAATGTGATAAAATAGAAACTAGAGTAATTGGAAAGTAATTCTGTCATGAAGCGAGGACAGATGGACCCAGTATTCAAGGCGAGACAGTCAGTAGGAAAGTTCAAACGTTTATTAAATAAAACAAAACTAAAGTGGAGCTGTGGCTAGCGGACACTGCAGGTGGGGGGCGGGGCACCGCCCAATCTCAGACACTCTAGGGGAGGAAACACAGGTAAGTGACCACGATCAACTGATTTATGATTATCTGGGTTGGTCACTTACCTGGTTTAACAGTCCAGACCACGAGTGTCCCAGTGCTGCAGTCCCAGAGGTGATGCTGGAAGCCGATCCTGGTGAGGGATCCAGAACATCCAGACTTCCAGGCATCCACAGGCTTCCAGGAGGGTTCAGAGTCTGACTGGGACCAGAAGCATGACCAGGTGGTCACGCACAGGAGCAGACAGGCAGGCTCAGTGGAAGAGGGTAGCCGAGACAGGACGTAGAACCGGAACTTGAAGCAGGACTTTAAACTGGTCTCCTCCCTGGAGCCAGGCTTACTTTGATAAAAACTGGACCTCCCCGCATATTGAGCCAAAAACCCAGAGGACTCCACGGGGGAGGAACAGTGGACGATCAGGAGACGAGACAAACACAAAACCCTCTTTCCACTGGCTGCTAGGATCCAAGACACGAACCATAAAATAAAACTAACAGACAGACTGACAGAAAGACAAGTAATGATCTGGCACTGAATGCTCAGGCTGAACTGAATATAAACCAGTGGAAACAGGTGAGAGGGATAAATTATATTTGAGGCAGGGAGGGAAAAACGACAGGTGAAAGGAATGGCTAATTAAGGAGAGCAAACAGGCCAGATCATGACAAATTCTCTGTGAATATAAATGTAGTAATTCTTTATTAAGCGCATGAGGCTGTCGTAGTGTTGTAGTGTTTGTGGTATTTTTCATTTGAAAAAGTCATGAAATATATTGCATGTTATGTTGACGATAAAAAAGCAACTCAAACATTTTAAAGTCTAATGCACACAGACAGCATAAAAGTATATGGCCTCATTCATGCACAATTTGGAAACAGGAAAATACTACAGCATTAACAAACTGGCATCTGAAAAGGATCCAACATCAGTGTTTGACCTGACTAATATGTTCCTGGAGGAACGCTCCATATTCTTCCCATTGCGGTGGATAACCAGGGTGGACCGATATGTTAAACCTGGAATGAGGCTCGTGTTCAAGTGTTTAAAGGCAGATTATCCTACCTGGCCATCTACGGTGTGTCTACAGAGCCCTGGCTCTGCCATCAGTGTTGGTTTATGGGGAGACTGGGAAGTTGCAGCGAAGGGACTGAGATTGAAATTTGAAAAGATGTGAGCTATGAGAGTAGAGGAGGACTGCTGGAAAGATGAAGATCCTGGAAGTCAAGGTGACCCAGGGAACCACCTAGAAAGCCAATACATATGTATATTAAGCATTTAGTCAGGTCCCAGCAAGGGTCAGGTTTCAGAATTCCTGTTTATTAAATTGTTATAAAATTGGGTTAAAATCACGTTGTTAATTTCTGAAATAGGTTGAGCATATAATGCGTTGCAAATGATTTTATACAACTTTATAGTCACAATTAAAAACTGTTTTATTGAAGTTGTTCTATGATACAAATTGTGTCATTTGTCTGATTTTGGTTGTAACATTCTGTTACAATCAGTTATCTAACTAATGTAACCTAAGTTTGCTGAGTCAATCATTTGTGTCAATGCCTCTTGTAGCAATATAGACATGAACTCTCTCTGATTTAAGCCATTTCTTTGTAGATCTGGTGGTAAACCTCTGCAACCACCATGTAATGCAGTTTGAGTAATCAAACAGATTGCGCCTAAGCTGTCTGCTTACATTACATCTGGAAACCTTCGATTGAAGTATTTTTGGGAAGGGGCGAAAATACTGGTTAGCTGATTGGCCTATGTTGGTGATAGACGGGCCAAATAAACCAATCAGATCAACGAAGCATATGACGTACTAACAGAGCGACGACGAAAACACAACCACAAGCCAGGCTACTCTTGCCGAAACCAGTCGGGAGAAGAGCAAAAACATCTTTTCCTCTGAGAAAAGCCTCCAGAGCAGTGTTTTGCTCTTCTTTCAGTGAAGAAATACTCTGTAATTCCGATAAAACTTGCTCGATAGCCACGCTAACGCTAGTTTCAACTGCTGAAGCCGCCATGTTCTTTAGACTGAACTGTCGCGCTTCTCGTTGCGTCACACCTCAACCCGCCTCAAAGCCAACGCTGATTGGACGTTCGTTTGGTGAACGGCTCCAAATTTTCTTTAACGGAGTGTCTCCAAACTGATCTGCGAGTGAAACCTTGAAAGCTCGCAAGATCAGGATGGTCTCACGAGGCTAGGTGTCTGCAGCTACTTCAGAATGATCAGAACCAGCAGGATGGGTCATAACATGGAGAGGGATTCTTCTTCCTGCTGTTCCATGTGGTTCTTAGACAGCAGTGTAATGTCTATGATGATCCCAATTTCTAACCGGTGGCTCTTCTTCTTTCTCAGGGGGTTTGAGCTCTTCAGAGCCAGCATCATGAAGAACGTTCACTTTCATCAACAAATAGAGAAGAAATCCCTGACACAGCTCAAGAAATCGTACGTTTTTACCGCATAAGCGCCGCTGTGCTGGAGGAGTCTGAGGAGAAGAACGTGTTGAACTTATTTTCTTTCCTTTGTTTCCTTTCCTCCCTCCTTAGGATGCAGAGGATTCGCGCTAAGCAGCAAAAGTACAAAGAAGGACAGAAAAGCAGTGAGATTTCTGCTGGAAGCCAGGAAGTTGGTAGTGATCTCAGCAGTCCAGTTGGTAAACGTTCTCCACCACTTCCACGTCCTGCATGTTCCCTCTGTAATCCAAAGAGCATCACTGGTCAAACTGGCTGCAATGGTGGCATCAGTTTATCAGAACAGCATTTATATCTATGAAGTCTTAGGAGGCATCTCACCAGTGTTAATATTTGTAGGAATCCCATTACTCTGCATTACTGTTTCTTTTTTCCACCTGAATCATCAGGATCTACAATATTAGAGCTTTAAAAACATGTCTTTCTTTGATCAAATGGTTTTGGATCTAATGTCAGCCTCTCACTGCAGAGACTCACGGGGAGCAGAAGAAGTCAAAGAAGAAGAACTGGTACCAACCATGGATAAACCACGCAGCAGGTAGATTAGATCTCCATGGTAACGGGTTAAAGTATTAATCCCTAACCTAAACACTCAGTGGATTTATTCTATACGTTGGCCGAGGCCTGCAAACGGCATTTAAATGCCTCATTTTACAGCAAATTCTACATTTCCTGCAAATTCAAAATTACATGAGAAACACAAATTTAGACACAAATGTAAAATTTAGACCAGCAAACATAAAAGTCAGGTTTGTACACAAACACAATAAATACCGGTTAAGAAAAACTGCAGCAGATAAGAAAAAGCTGCAGTCGAAGAAAACGGAGAACAGAAAAATAGAAATGCCTTAAAACAAAAAAACAAAACAAAAATGAAAGCAAAGGGAAAATGCTGCATGGAGCAAAAACAACTTTAAGTTATAAAAAACCACTAGGGGGAGATGATCATCAACCCATATAGGAAGTGACCAACCTAAAGCATAGACAGGATAATAAAGATTAAATGTTTAGAAAAAATATTTTGAGGAAAACTAACCTTTGTTTTCTTCCCTCTGTACTGCATCCTATTAATATTCCTGCTAAGGTTGTCTTCTGTGTTTTTGTTGGCATATTAGCGTAGTTGATCGTCTCCCCCTAGTGGTCTGGAGTTCTTCCACTCTGCAGTGCTAGTCACATATGGTTATGCTACTTTCACACTAAACTTGAGTAGTTAAGAATTAAGATTTAGACGAATGGGTAAAAACCTGCAGTCTGTAGAGTCTGCAGAAGTTTTTGCACTGAAAACATTTCAATGTAAGTCAATTTTTCTCTGAAAATGTTTTTTTTCTTTTATTTGAGCAGGTAGGTCATAAATGACCAATCGCATAAGGCTACGTTCACACTGCAGGCCTTGAGGATCAATTCCGATTTTTTTTTGTGAAATCCGGATTTTTTTCATTGCTGTTCACATTTCCAAATATATACGACTTGTATGTGATTTCCTGTGTGAACTGCAGTCATACAACGCAAGTGTCCCGCATGCGCAGTAGAGGACGCAATGATGTCACAGGCCAGCGAGCTTTGTGTTTACGGAAGTAAACATGGATGGTAGTGCCGGAGCGCATCTAGCGATCTTTCCCAACCATAAAAACACAATCTTTTCAAGATGGTTAAACATAAATACTGCTCCCTGCATCATCATCTGCCATGGTTGTTGTTTTTCTTGCCACTTCTTCATAGCAAGACCCAGAATAGTGACCTGTGTCGGGTATTAATGACTTTCAGGTCGGATGAATGTGACCTGGCCGTTCAGACACAGGTCGCATTTGAAAAGATCAGATTCGTATCGGATTCAGGACCACATAGCCAAGCGGCCTGGGTCGGATTGGAAAAATCTGATCTGTATCAGAGAGCCATGAAAAGATCAGATCCAGGTCGCATATGGGCCAAAAAATGGGATTTGAGTCACTTCAGACTTCTGTGTGAACGTGGCCTAAGATAATTTATGTTGAAAACTGTTCATATCATCTTATTTAAGGGCAGAAATACTCATTCCATTGGTAGATCATTTTTTCCCCCAGCTCAAATTAACTACAAATACACTTTTTTTTTATTCAATAGAATAGAAAATCCCTTTATTGCCCCACAATGGGGAAATTGTGGAAATTGGAAATCAGGCAGTAGAGAGACTAAATGTTAGAAGCATCAATGACTGTGAGTAGGGCTTCAACTAATGATTCAATTTAAAAATCGATTCATCTGTTGATTATTTTTTTCATTTAATAATCAGATAGCCAAAGGTTCCTTAAAGAGGACTTTTTACCTGATTAAACCAGGTGGATTATAGAGCAAATTAAAAAATGGAAAAGATTTTTATCTTAAATGCAAAATGTTTTTTTTTATATAATTCCATCTCTTAAGGGGGTTCCTCTGTCAGCTAAAGGCATTTTTTAGAGTCTTTATACTCCAGTTAGGAATAATCAATTACTGAATAAGTTGATGATCATGGAAATAATTTATTAATCTGATTATCTGATTTTAGCCCTAACTGTGAGCATCTGAGCAGAGATGAATAATGCTGCCTTCTGCCCACAGTCATTCATTCTGGTGACTACTACCTGTTTGAATCAGACAGTGAGGATGAGGAGGATCTGACCTACGAGGAGAAAAAGCCTCAGACTCAGACTGCATGCCAGGTCAGAACCAAAAACCAGTTCATCTGCTGTATGACAGAGATTAGCAGCTGCTATATGAACGTTGTATCCCAGTTAGCTTATCAGGCATGGGTGAGCAGCGTGAAGACAGCTCTGAGGGAACGCCAGAGACGCCAGAGACAGTGGAAGGCCATGAAGGAGAAAGAGAGGAATAGACAAGAACAAAGAGAGGAGGATCTTCATCTGAAGGGTAAGGCTCCACTAGAAACGGATCATTTGTTCAAACTAAACCCAGTTAATAATGTTCTCTGAAATGAATCATGACTGATGACTAACTGAACCGCTGATGGTTAAGGAACCATGACCTCATCAAGGTGTTCTGGTGCTCTCTGTTTATGTAGCCTCTGCAGATGCTGTTTTTGAGGAGGCTGATGCTGAAGAGGAGGAGCCTGAGGAGGAGGAAGAGTCTGGTAGGTGAACCTGCAGCTGCCAATATTACAAAAATATTTTTAATAATAATGTTTTTGTAATTTGATGTAATCTGCTGACAGATCCTCACACCAACTAATGTTTAACTGTTGTTAGCATGAACGTCTAGTAGGTCACATGGTCACAGTGTTTTTTTTAATGACTGGAAAGAAGAAGGTGACCGGATTTCTGCGATCTAATCTGTTAGTGGCTTCTTTTCCTCTCGGAGCTCCTTTGCCTGGTAGCTGCAGCTGCCTGCTCTTTCCTGTATTATTGACGTAGCAGCGCATCAACTGTGCTGAACTGCTTAACTCCACTCTCTGATTTTTCTGCCTTAAGTTCCTCCTTCCCTCTTTCTAAATGCTTGTTTTCTAGTCTGTATGTGTGTGTGCGTGCTTGGAACACGGGAAAAAAAAAAAATTATGCTTGAATACAACGGTTACCAAAATTAATATTAGGCTACAAAACTATAACTATTTCATTTTTGACGGCAGTTCAGGTATAAATAACAGGTGTTATTTCTTTAATAGAACATAACAACATGAGAAGGATGCTAAAGATCTGCTATTTTTTATTTTCCACATAAAAATAGTTCTATTTAATTGACTTCTACTTCTAGAAATAGGATTCCACGCGGTCCATAAGTAAATTAGTACAAACATTATTGTCTGGTAAATTTTTTACAATCTTGTTATAATTCCTGCTCTAAGTGGGTCGCTCTGTCGGCTAAAGGCACATTTTAGTGGCTCTATACTCTAGTTAACGATTAATCAATTACTAAATTAGTTGACGATTATTTAAATAATCAATTAATGCGATAAATTGTTTCAGCTTTAGATAAAATACATGAAATGAACGACACAGAGTAACTACAGCCCAGATGTACAACTAGTAAGTTAATAATCGAAATGCTCAATGTCAGTTCCTCTTATAGTTCCAGTGCACATGTAAATACAATACATTTATTTGCCGTCCCTTGAATGTATTGTTGAGCAAGATACAGAGAGAGCATTTAGCGACAGTGGCGTTGGATGTAGGAGTTTGCCCTGAAATCGAAGGATTGACGGTTCAAGCCCCGGCTCCGACCTTCAGTGTCGTTGTGTCCTTGGGCAAGGCACTTCACCTGCATTGTCTACTGATGGTGGTCAGAGGGCCCGGTGGCGCCAGTGTACGGCAGCCCCGCTTCTGTCAGTGAGCCCCAGGGCAGCTGTGGCTACAATGTAGCATGCCACCATCAGTGTGTGAGTGTGTGCGTGAATGAATGTAGTGTAAAGCGCTTTGGTCAAGTCTCCTAACTTGAATAAAGGCGCTATATAAGTACATGCCATTTACCATTTACCTCTGTTTACTTCTGCACAATTCTACATCTTCAAAAGAAAGGGATAGATCTACATATAACAGACATATTAAGTCTATATTTGTTTAAACAGGCGTGTATTTACCTACTGTCTTAGTCGCTAGTTATTTCATATGCAAACCTTTTCAAAGTGGAAAATAGTCCTAATTCGTCATTCATCAGAGCCAGTGATGCTTTAAACATTGATAAACAGCATCTGGTGTGTTTAGTGCTTATAAGATTTGTATTAATGTAGCAAGAAATGCTGCTGTTCTCTTTAAACAAAATGTGCCCTGATGCTCATCAAGCATTAAAAACATTTATTAAAATTAAAATTAATTAATTAAAATTAATTAATTAAAAGCATTAAATGCATATTTTTGCAAAGGACCAATGACATCAGACCAATGAACCTGAAGACCAATGGTGTCCCTACCAAACCTGAAATCAAACCTACGCTCTTGCTGCTCCTTATCTATACGCTAACGGCTGACAACCAGCTAGCTAGCAGCTGTTTCTACGCGCAGAACGCCAAAGCTCTTTTTACCGTAATAACTGGGCGTTTCTCAATTCACGAGAACGCGAGTACGTACTCGCGTTCTCATCAAGTCCGTTCTTGGCGAGAACGCAGGAAGATCGGACTTGACAAGAACGCGAGCATGCAAGCACCTATGTGTATTGGAGCAGAAGCGTACTCGTGACGTCATCACAGGCAACATTGTTTAGCATTTCTTTAACAGTCAAAACTATTTATTCCCTACACAAAACATTTTGAAAACAATATTTTTAATTTCTAAAGCTTAAAAAACATTTAAAAAAATTACCAAACCGCAAAAAACCGCCATTAGAACGAGCGGTAGTTCACACATAACCAGACCGTGAGAAGTGCACTACAGACGGGGTAACATTAGCCCTGGCTGCGGTTACCCTCGGAGGTCTGCTGGTCACTCTGGTCCGCTCAACGTCGGACTTTTTTTTTTTATTTCGCACTAACTCTGTAAACAGACCACACAGGGAGGCTTAAATGTATAATGTTATCGCCTCAAACGATTTCAAAACGTACTTTTGAAGAACAACAGCAGCAGAAAAGGGAATGTTTAACTTAACACTGTGAGCGCTGTCTGGAATCAAGCTGCGGCCGCGGTGCATTCTGGGGAAGCGGTCAGTCTGAAGAACGCACAAGTCTGCTCTGATGCATGCTCGATAAAGAGGGCGGGGCGAGAACAACATCCGGGGATTTGATGCGTTCTCGATCTGGTGTTCTTGAGAATTGGAACGGTACTCGGGCTGAGGCTGATGACGTGTCACGAGCACACGAGAACGCTCAAGAACGCATAATGAGAAACACCCACTGTCTACACACAACATCCCCCCCATACATTTAACGGTAAAATCGGGGATATTTCTGGGGACAGCTTCAGCCAGGGACAGGTGGTCTAAATCGGGGACATCTGGTCACCATAAAGCCATCAGGCTTTGGTCCTGGTCCAGGTGCAACCCTAGGAGCATGGAGGCTGCTTTGTTCTCTTCTTCACTCTTCGTTAACCTTCTTCATTGTGACGTAGTGCATGGAGAGATGGTTCAGAAGATCTTGGATATCCTGCGCTTCCTGTGGGCTATTATCTTAGCCATGGTGGACGGCCTGACCCAGTGGCTCAATCTGCTCACTAAACAGTACAGAGACACGTCCACGGTGCTCTGCAACGAGCGCTACTTCATCATACACAGGATCCAGCAGGTAAAAACCAGGAAGGACTCAGGTCTCATCACCAAAGGTAGAAGAACTGAAGCACAAACAAAAAAACAAAACCTATATTCTGATTATTGCAGCGTCGACCAGCCGAGTCCAGAGAAGACCTGGTGTCCCAGAACAGTGAGATCTTCTCTCTGAATACGTCTCTGGACCAAGAAGATCCAGAACACGCATCTGGAAGCAGGTCAGCGTGCTGTTTGGTCTCCATCACATCAGGGTTTATGCTGCCGACAGATGCTGTTAGCATATTGGTGACTGTGAGGCCCGACGAGGTCCAGGCCGAGTCTTTGGGACTGACATGATCAGACAGAGGTGGTAGAGATGTCAGTGGGGGCGCTCCCAAACCCTCCGTCTGGAATGCTGCTCCGAGGAAAGTGAGCCTAGATCTGGAGGAGGAGTGGCAGACCTCCATGCAACCACGGCAGGTGTCGGCTGCAGGTCGGGAGAAACACGCCTCTGGGTCATTGATCATCTCCCCTGCTAGGAAAATAGAACTGAGGATTGAATTCAGGATTGAGCTTCTTATTTTAGGACCTGAACGGATGGCCTATATCGCTACGGTTACAGAACATTTGCTCCATGATAAACATTTAATCATGAATGCTTAGGAAATAACTGATTACAAGGAAAATTCTCTGCTTATAATGAAATCTGTTTGATATTAAGGCTATGAACTAAATGACTATGAACCTTAAGCTTTCCACAATGATGCAATTAAAGTTTACTTTATAGGAATTATATAATATAAGTAATTCATATCTAGGTATTATTTATGCAAGTAAAAGTTGATTCCATGAAAATTTCTTTTAACTTTTTCCACATACAGACGGATGTGGTTTGTTGGATAAATAATAAAATAAATGTTTTGTGTTTGATCCTGGTCGTCTTTAACAGTCAGGAATGACTTTCTTTCTACTTTCAAAATAAAAGTCTGACTCCTGTAGGATTAAACCAGACTCTTTATGTCCCACAATCATAGGTTATCATTTCTGCCATCATCATGTTGACCCCAGCTGGTGAACGCTTTAACAATGAGCTGGGATTCTGTCACAGGAAAACTGGTCAAATATGTTACATTATAAATTTGATATGAAAGAAAAAAATATCCAACCACTTAGTAAGATTGTGTTTATTTTTAGCAACAAAGATTTATTTTACTACCAAAAATCAAGTTTCATTCTATTATAATTCGGAATAAATTGACCACTAACCAAAAATCCTTCATAACCAATTTATAAGTAAACTCAAACTCTCAATTTATATCTGCAAAAAAAAAAAAAACCCTGATTACTGGTAATAATAATAATAATAATAATAAGTCCAAAACTGCCCGTTCTTTTTTTTTTTTTTTTATGATAATGTTCACAAAGGAGTTTCATATCCGCTAAACTCAAAGCAAAGTCCAAAGTTCGTTCCAAAATGAAAAATCCAAAGGACAACACCCCCCCCCCCAAAAAAAGATTAGAAAAAAATTGGTACCACCAAAAATCCAAGAAAAATAAGGTCCAGATCTCACCGTGTGCGTCTTACTTTCCCGTGGGCGGTGTCTTTTTGCACCGGGCAGCGTCCTCTGGGTGCAAACTCTGATCACTTCTCTTGATTGCTGTTCTGTGGCGCAGGGAAAAACTTTGATTGCCGATTTATCTTTCTTCTTTTATTTTTAAGTTGTTTTTAACATTCAACCAAACAAAAACTCCCGCTGCACAGATCTGACACGCCGACGCACACGCCCATTTTTATCAAGATATTTTCTCCACACCAAAAAAAAAAACAGCATTTTAATACCCAACATCATTTTTAACCAGTGGAGATTCGAAATAATATTACCGAAGACATAATAACTGTTCTACAAAACAGTTTATCTGTACACTTTAATGCACTTCATACAAAAAAAGAAAATAACATAGTGGTTCTGTTACAATGTTAAAGAACAAATATTCATAGGATTGTTCTCTAATGTTGCTTTTTCCCATCCTGTTTCTCTACCCTAAGCAGAGCGGAGACGCCGAGGCGCAGCAGCAATGGGAATCTTCTGACTGAAGAAGTCCTGCAGCCGGAGCCATTAAAGCTGCGACACTCCAGAACCGCCAGTGAGATCCTGTCTGACAGGTGAATCATCTGCAGTTCTTTGACCAGATCAGCAGAGGTCTCTGGACTCAGTCAGTCCTGATCTATGGTTTTCACTGCTAGCTTTTAAGGAGGCTGACTGCTTGTTTTTTCAGGGCTTTTTTTATCGAGGAGTTGGAGCAGAGCAGGGAGTTCTTCAACAACCAGAACCGTTTGCTGAGGCTGCTGATAGCTGTATACAACCTGCTGTCAGCCAATTCAGAGCTGCTCTGCTACCTGATTATAGTCCTGAACAACGTGGTCAGCGCCTCCGTCATATCACTGGTCCTGCCAATGCTGGTCTTCCTCTGGGCCATGCTGTCCGCTCCAAGACCCACTAAGAGGTTCTGGATGACAGCCATTGTCTACACAGAGGTATGGATTCTGGAGGACATCTTCAGACCTTTGAAAAGCAAAGAGATTTAGTCCCAAACAGAACCAGAAGGATCTGTCCATGATGAGATTAAATGCAGCAGAATGAAGCTTTAGGTTTTACCATTCAGTGGTTTTAATCGGCTGGTAGGAGGTCAGCAGATGTTTTGGATGCAGCTGTTACACTCCTTACCAACTGGTGGCAGTAATGCACATGAAAGATGAAATGGAAGAATAGATCAAAAGTTATACTGCGCGTGCTTTAAAAATGTTTAAGAAAAAAAACAGAGAAGAGGTCTCGCAAAGCATTTTGGGATATATTATCTTGTCTAGTGACCACGGATCATCACTACTTTTTAAGGTGCATTGTGGGAAATTTTAAGTCCATTACTGTTTTATTCACTAGAGCAAAGGTCATGGATTAGCGGACCGCGGATCCAGACCCTGCATGTTGTCTGAGGACAGTGTCTAACTTCACTTTCGCTGCTTCTCCTTCCTTCAGAGATTATTTCTCTGTTGGAGCCGCTCAGACCTCCACATACCGGTGGTGCGCTGTCACTGGGAATCCCCAGCAGCAGCTGCCTCAGACCCGCTCGCCTCTTGGGGTTTTCCCCTACTGTTGGTGGCGGCTGGAAGTAGATGTTAGCGTTTTTCATGTATGAGGTTCAAACTGCAGGCACCAGGATAATAAAATCAAACATATTTTGCTGGCAGGATTCTACATTTTAAGTTCATTTAGGTGTTAATAAACTGTTTCAGAGGAGTGATCATTGCGCTCTGCATCAGCAGCGCTGTGTCTGTCTCCCTGCCAGCTCCCAGATCAGCTTCTCTGATTGGTGATGTGGTGCGTCCAGCAGCAAAAGTTACATTTTTCTACCTCCACCAGCTGCTGCTTGTGAAATTTTGAACAATCACACAGCATCATGGGATGTATGTGCTCATCTAGTGACCATGGATTATCACTACTCGCTGTGTCCAAATATCCACCCTAACCACCATATAGGTCACTATAAAGTGGTTATGCCATTTTAAATGAGTGTCTAAACGTTTAGCGGAAGAAAAAGTACTGTTCCACTGATCCTTGGAGCCCGTAGGAACAAAACCAAACCACGCTACAAATACAGGAAGCATTGATTAGAGCCAGAACCGGTTCTAGGACAGAACCATCTAAACCAGCGCTGTGCTCTACCTCTTCCCAGGCCATGGTGGTGCTGAAATACATCTTCCAGTTTGGGTTCTTTCCGTGGAACAGCCTCTACGAGATGACCCTGAACGAAGACAAGCCCTTCTTCCCGCCCCGCATCTTCGGCCTAGAGAAAACCGACAGCTACATCAAATACGACCTCCTCCAACTGCTGGCTCTGTTCTTCCACCGCTCCCTCCTCATGGTCAGACATCAGTAGATTAATACCCTTCACTAATTTCACTGACTTTGTTGCGCTATGTTTTGTTGTTGAGACGTTGATATCTGTTCTCGGTGCATATTTTAACCTCACATTTGTTTCTCATGGTTGACCTGCTGGGTTCATCTTGGGTTAGATCACTGGAAAAAAAAAAATCTAGATTAGTCATTCTTTCTTAAAATAAGTGTATTTGTTCTTGGATTGAGGAGGTAAAAGAGACATTTTGCCAATGGAACAAGAAAATTTACACTTAAAATAAGAAAACAAAATTGCATTGTCTCATTTCAAGTGCATTTTATCTAATTATCTTATTTAAAGAGTAAAAATACTAATTTTATTGGCAAACTATCTCTTTTACCTACTCAAATTAGGGCTAAATACACTTAATTTAAGAGATTTTTACTTATTTTTACATCGTAGTGATACCATAAGATGCCTGCAGGAGTGTGTGTGCTGCAAAAAATTGAAATAAGTCATTTTTCTTAAAATAAGGGATTTTTTTTCTTAAATAAGAAGGTAAGAGAGACACTTTGCCAATGGAACAAGACAGTTTGCATTTAAAATAAGAAAAAAGTTATATGTTGTCTTATTTCCAGTGCATATTATCTAATTATCCTAATCTAAGAGTAAATATAATAATTTCATTGGCAAATCATCTTATTTACCAGCTCAGATTAAGGGTAAATTCAATTCAATTCAATTCAATTTATTTATATAGCGCCAAATTCACAACACATGTCATCTCAAGGCACTTTACAGTTCAACCAGATCATACAGTCAAATTGATACAAAGTTTTCTATCTAAGGAAAACCAGTTGATTGCATCGACTCATTGACTCAAATACAATCCCTCACACTAAGCATGCTTGTAGCGACAGTGGAGAGGAAAAACTCCCTTATAACAGGAAATAAAATACATTTAAATACACTTAGTTTAATAATTTTTGTTTGTGCAGTATGCATCCATAACTACACTGTTAAAACAATACGTAAAAAATCTTAAATTAGGTGCATTTACCTTCAGTGGTAGGTTTGTTTTGATCCTGGAGACGTGTCCAGGGTGTATCCCCACCCTGCCTGTTGACAGCGACCCTTCCTTGACCCCTCAACAGGACAGGGCGCTGAAAAGACAGAGACACGTGAACAGGTGCTAAAATCATTAGCAGCAAACGCATCAGGAGCTGCAGCGACAGAACTGCTGCAGCCAGACGGGACTAGGACTGTGAAGTACCCTCCAGAGTCCAGAACGAGGAAGCAGGTGACCGATCAGACAGAGGGTGATGAAGAAGACGGCGGTGATGGATGGAACAAGAGAAGCTCCAGAAATAAAAAGAGCTGAAAGATGGAAATGGAGAGCTGGCAGCCTCAGTGGGGCCTGTGGTCATGGGAGCAGTCAGGACCATGACCTTCAGAACAGAAGGTCCATCAGAGCAGACAGCTAAGAGCTGCAGGCGTCTCATTTAAGAAGCTTTATTATGACACAGGAGCAGGATGAGGGGTCACTGGAACCAGACCTGCTGAAAGGTTTTCATCAGGCAGAGAGCCGCTGACCTTAAAGCATGAGATAGTTTTCCTCTCTCACCACAAATCCTCTAAATACTGAACCAGATAAAGTCAAACTGAGCTCTCCTCTGGTGTCGGATGTTCAGTTTTCTTTCCAAACAGGTTTGATGGAAGGGCTCATCTGTAAACCTCCTTGCTAACGCTCTGTGTTCACTCACAGCAATATGGTCTGTGGGACCACGAGGGCCCCCTGGAGGAGCAGGTTGCCTCTCCAGAAGATGGACAGAACATCAGAGCAGGAGAGGAAAATGGGAGCAGTAAGGGGGAAGCCCAAGAAGCTAAACGAAAGGATCAGGTAGCATCCAGAACATTGTCCAGGGAGGGAACTGATGGTGCAGTTTAATCTTCAAAGAGATTCTTTTTTTGTATACGATGTAGGACAATCAAGAGCCAGGTACCAGCTTGGCCGCCGCCGCCGCCGTGACGCGCCATGATGCTGCCGAAGATCTGTCTGCGAGGCCGCAGAATGAACGAGAGAAAGAGCCCAGGAACAACAATCTGGATCTGTTGGATGTGATGGAGAGAGACGGCAAAGAGCTGCAAGAGGAAGTACCCAAGAAAAACAGCAGCATCCGCCTCCGCAGAAAAAACAAGAAGGCGAAAAACCAGGACAGCAAAGGTTTGTATCACCAGGAGTTAACCGAAGTATTGGCAAGCTGACAGCAAGCAGCTGGTCATTGTTAGGAAGGGGGTAACTGCTGAATCACAGCTTTTTCAATAACCTTCCTGATGAAGGGAGGTGTGAGACGAGCCTGGAGTTCTGCAGCAGCATATTCTTCAAGTTTCTCTTCTTCAACAGCAGATTTGATCATTGCTGTTTTTAGGGCCTGAGGAAATCACTGGAAGTTTATTTGGTGAAATGAGGACTTTTTGTCAAAATATATTTATATATTAATATGTTTAAATCTTTATATCAGCAAGCTGCAGCAGTCCTTCAGAACCTGGTCTTATAAGTTGTTTGCTACCCTGATTCAGTTCTATTCAGTTTATTTCTATATCTCCAGTCTTCAACTCAGGTCACTTTCCAGATCCAGTTCAATCAGATTAAAGCTCCAAAGTTTTCCATCTAAGGAAAACCAGCTGATTCCATCCAGTCATTGACTTTGTGGGATTCTCTCCTCCTGGATGAACATTTTCACACAGTAGGAGTTAGCTTGCATAGCAAAGCAATCCCTCACACCAAGCATGCATGTGGTGAATGTGGAGAGGAAAAATTAGGAAGTAACCTCCAGAAGCAGGCTCACTGTGTGTGTGGGGTGGGGGTGGGGGGTGGGTTGCCGAGGCTGGCTGTGGTTCAAGGAGACAGAAGGAGTCATAGAAAAGAACACATAGAACATAGAAGCACTAAACAACAAATACTTTCTATGTCAGACATGGTAGCAGTAACCAGCTCCACAGGTGTCTCTGTCTGGGAAAGAAACCGTTTGAAAGAAACAGTCCAAAGCTATCGCTGGTAGAGAAATGGAACTAAACACTGAAAAACAGGCCAAGCTCCATTATCTATAAACAAACATGGTGATGGCAGCAGCACAGCTGATATTTCTCTCCAGGATGGAGTCACAGCCAAACAGGAACAGATCAGATGAAGCTACTATAAGAAAAAGCAGAGAGAGCAGAACGTTAGAGATTGAACTAACAGATTCTGCAGAGTGGAAGAATAGAGATAGAATAAAGCTGAATGATTAAATAGGGGTCCCTATGTCCTCCAGCAGTCTAAGCCTATAGCAGCATAACTATAGAGATAGCTCAGGATATCCTGAGCCACTCTAACTATAAGCTTTATCAAAAAGGAAAGTTTTAAGTCTAGCCTTAAAAGTAGACAGGGTGTCTGCCTCACGGACTAAAACTGGTAGTTGGTTCCACAGGAGAGGAGCCTGATAACTAAAAGATCTGCCTCCCATTCTACTTTTAGAAATTCTAGGAACCACTAGTAAACCTGCAGATTGAGAGCGAAGTGCTCTGTTAGGAACATAAGGAACAATCAGATCTCTGATATAAGATGGAGCTTGGCCATTTAAGGCTTTATATGTGAGAAGGAGGATTTTAAATTCTATTCTGGATTTAACAGGAAGCCAATGAAGAGAAGCCAGGATAGGAGAGATATGATCTGTTTCTAATTGAAATGTTACCCGATACCATGTGAAGACGATTTGAATGGACTGTATGACTTTCCTCAGGTTGGGTTCTTTCCTGAACTTTAATGTTGTTCCCAGTTGGACCCTTGGTACCAAACCGCTTTTATGTTGGTTAGAGAGGGAAGAATCATACAGTAGCTTTAGGTCCTTATGTTTGCTTACAGTGTTTTAATTTGCTTGTTCTGTTTTAGAGTCTCTGTCAGAGCTGGCAGAGTCCGCCACGGAACCAGAGAAGAAACCCAAAGACAAGAAAAGTGACGCCACACTGAGGTTGATCGCTGTGGGACACAAGATCCAACAACTCTTCGTCAGAGGGTAAACCATCGAATAGGTCACTGGAGCTTTTTAAAACTGCCACCAAACCAGCTTGTTGACCTGCTGTTGGGTTTTCTTCTTCAGGTTCCAGGGCGTGAAGCAGCCAGCTCAGCGTTTCTTCAGAAGCATAACCAAGGATAAATACCGGGCCTCCACTGATGTGTACGCCCTGATGTTCCTCACCGACGTCATCGATTTTGTCATCATCATCTTTGGCTTCTGGGCTTTTGGGGTAAGAGATGAACGGATTCCCTCAGGGAAACACAAATGAGTGCTTTAAACCTTTAAGGACGACCAGGACAAGTCAATTAGCTTCATTCTGGTTTGAATACAGCCAACATGCTTAATGAATAACACAAACTTTGGTTAAACATCTGCTTCTGAGACAAGCGTGGATATTTCTCAGTCATCAGGAGCAGGAGCTAAACATGATCTGTGTCAGAGCAAAGGTGTTTGGCAGACTGTGTAGACTGAACTTAGTTAGGTTAAAATTAATACTGACTTTTTATAATAAACATAATCTGACTGATGTTCTGGAATATTAGCTCTGACTTTGGGTTTGAAGCTTTTTAGTTTACCAGACAGTTAAGGAATGGAAATAAACAGAATTAGTACACTGGAAAAAAAATCGAAATCAGGATAAGTAACATTTTTCTTCCTAAAAGTGCATTTGTTCTTGGATTGAGGAGGTAAGAGAAACATTTTGCCAATGGAACAAGACAATTTATACTTAAAATAAGAAAACACAATCGCATTGTCTTATTTGAAGTCCATATTATCTAATTATCTTATTTTAGTAGAGATGGCAAAAGTACTCACTTTCCGTACTTGAGTAAAAGTACAGATACTTGTGTTAAAAAATACTCTGGTAAAAGTGGAAGTACTGATTAAACTTCTTTACTCAAGTAAAAGTAACAAACTACAGGCTTGTAAATTTACTTAAAGTATAAAAGTAAAAGTAGAAACCACTTTTTTAATGCCGTTGCCTACATTTTAAATGGATGTCTGCCAATAGGACTAGATCTCTGTTGTGTTCATTTTCAATCATCTCGTCGTCCATGCTACTATGCTAACGCCACCGCCACCAAGCTGCAATGATTTGCCGCCAATGAATACCGCCGAATCTGTCGATTCATCTTGTAGTGTGGCGTCAAATGCAACGTAGATTCCCATCCAATTAGATTGAATTTGGTATTGATGACGTGAAAAATAATAACGGTAACTCCACTGAAATTATTCAAAACTAAAGTAACGAGCCAATTTTTTAAAATGTAAGGAGTAGAAAGTACAGATATTTGTGTAAAAATGTAAGGAGTAGAAGTAAAAAGTCGCCATAAAAATCAGTAGTAAAGTAAAGTAAAAATATCAGAAAAATCTACTTGAGTACAGTAACGAAATATTTGTACTTTGTTACTTCCCATCTATGTATTTTAGGAGTAAAAATACTCATTGAATTGGTAAACTATTTCATTTTCCTACTCAAATTAAGGATAGATACAGTTAATTTAACAAATTTTTATTTATTTATGGATGTTTTTCCCAGTATAGATGCTCAATATGTAGAGTAGGAGTAGAAACCAGTCAAATGTAGTACTGATGAGTGTATTTCCATTATGCTAAACTGAATCTGTTGAATACTTGAAATCCTGGAAAATAAATAATGATGAAGGAACAATCAAAAATATTTTATACAATATAACTGCATTAATAAAATATATATATTAATATATTCAATCAGTATATTGGCTTTGAAAATATTAACGCCTAGGGTCACTAATCAGCTTCATTCCGAAACTCACTCTGAGAAGCTGTCAAACTTATGTCACTGTTAGACTGTTAAAAAATAATAACAAGTATTTAACTTAATAACTTGTTGACGGCAAAGATATGTGATACAATTTTTGTTATTGGGCATGAAGGGGTTAAATAAATTGAGGTTTCAGAAATGTCCAGAAGTTTTCTAATGAATCTAATGATTAATTCATCTTGCTTGTCGCTGTGGCAGATGGATTTTACACACTTGGCTGCATTGATCTGAGTCACAGACTACAGCAGAGCATTGAAAATAGTAATTAATACTATTAATATTATTAGATTAAAGAAATACATTTAAATAAAAAAAAAGTCTTAAATATATTTTGCTATTCAGTTTTTGCATTCAAACATCTGAAGTTTATTGGAAAAGCACAGAAGGTTCCTCCTGCCTTTTGCATGAAGAACAGTTAAACCTGACTGTTCTGCCGTCCTCCTCAGAAACATAGCGCTGCAGCGGACATAGCCTCCTCTCTGTCAGAGGACCAGGTGCCTGAAGCCTTCCTGGTGATGCTCCTCATCCAGTTCAGTACCATGATCATCGACAGAGCTCTGTACCTGCGCAAGGCGGTTCTAGGAAAGCTCATCTTTCAGGTTGGTTCCACCCATCTTTAACCCGGGTATTCATGTTTTAGAAGCCTCAGCCTCCCAGCATCTCCTGGTGGCTCACCTGGTGCCCTTGCTTTGTTTCAGGTGATCCTTGTTCTGGGGATCCACCTGTGGATGTTCTTCATCCTGCCTGCTGTCACTGAGAGGTGAGCTCCCATGAATTCAGTCTCGTTAGAATCTTTCTCATAGAGATGATGACAAATTTGTGCAAAGAACATTTTTCGATGTTATCTCTGATGTGAGCCGAGCCTTACTTAACCTGTTGCATTGGCATGCTGAACTTTAACCCATCGCTTAAAAAAAACATCCATTTTATCACCTCACCTGCTCACACATGCACTTGGGCCAAACCGTTTACTGCACATGCATTTCATCTGAACAGTTTACTGGTGTAGAGTATGGGCTCTGTTCGAAAACCTGGGCTGCATCCTCCAAGGACGCGGTCTACCTAGACTGGAGTTTTGGCTGTAAATTCAAACAGGTCTACCCTTCGGCGGGTTTTACCGCCGTATGCTCTGTTGCTTAGCAACCGTGAAAGTTGACACACAAAGCAGGAAAAGAATGAATACCGAGGTTTTCAAAACTGTATTTTTATTTATTTCTTTTTTATTGTAAAGTGAACAAAGACTACACTCACAAGAATCCAGAGTGGAATAAAGGTTCCAACAGCCGGGAGCAAGAACAAATAAAACTAGAAAAAGCTGTTTCGGAGAAACATCAAAGTGGGAATGCTTTTGCTGAATGAAAAAAGCTGAAATTACCTGCATAACATAGGAAAATGTGATAGGAAGTCATCAGAAACGTCAAACTGCAGAAAACAATTGAATCATCTGAAGATTTTGTAGGGTAGAATCATTTGGCAGTAAAATGGCAGAAACAAACTCATCTTAAAAGCTGCACAGCCAAACCATACATGATATCAAAAAATGTCTTGAATGTGGGCACTAGAAGGGTCTTAATATAATGTCTCCCAAGTTTCTAGAAAAATGTATAAAGAAATTTTGAAGGGGGGTTTACCTACTTTCCAGAAACATGTCAGGCGTGTTATGAATTAGCAGCAAACAGAAAAGCTTAATTCCTGTCCAGAAACAGAGCAGAATGAAGCCAAAGTTCACAACATAGGCTGAAAAGTATGAAATTAGCTGAAGTAGAAAAGAAATTACAAAGAAAAACTTTAATCTTATCTGGTTGAAGAAAAATTAGTAGCTTAAGGATGGGAAGTAAAATGTTGAGGACGATGGTATTGAATAAGTATTAACATTTTGAAATCATATGTGGAAATGTCAAGACTTGGCAAAACAATTGGAAAATTATTTAAAATGTGTCGGTTGATCAGCACAAAGAAAACAGTGTCATCCTTAGAGGATTGAAATATGTGCAAGACTGACCATGACAAGCAGAGGAAGGACAGAGAGAGAAGCTTATAGAAAGAGAGCTAATACCACTTAAGGAGCTGAATTTATAAAAAAATTGAACCTGCATGTTACGAGCCGCTGTGGTAATGAAAGCACCGTTGGCAGGCTTAGGCTGCATGTTACAAGGTTAGCAGATGCTTTATTACAGTATAAATCTTAGAACCTGATTAAGAAATATGCACTGAGGTGTGTGGTCCACAGGCCTTGTTAGTGTAATTTGAAGAAATTGGTTGACTTTGGGTCATAGCTACAAGCCATACGGCACAATGAATGAGTGTGCGTAAGGAAGAGGCTTTTATTTTGTAGGTTCCCTTTAGTCTGATTTTGAAAGTCTATCATGGATGTGTGTCAAGGGAAGGGTCATGCCCAGCAGTGATATAGAATCCATTTCCAAATATGAAATCACTGGTTTTCCATGTTATTGGGTGAATAGATGCTGTATTAGAGCGTAAATGGGAGACTTTTATTGTGAAATTTGCTCTGGGGTATGTTGTGAAAAGGTCCCTAGTGTCTAATAGAAACAAGCTGGTAGAGTTTGGGTCATAATGCTGAGCCATCTGCATCAAATAATAGGCGAGTATAATATAGAGGCTTTTATTTTGTAGGGTCACTGAAGTCTTATTT